AAGCAGAAGCAGGGAGGAGGGGAGAGCGACCGGGGTAGATATAGTAGAAGGAGGGAGGAGGTGAAGGTGATGAAAGCAGAAGCAGAAGCAGGGAGGAGGGAGGTGAGGGCGACGGTGGCAGAAGCAAAAGGGAAAGGGAGGCAATTGCGACGGAAGCAGAGGCCAGCAAAAGAAGAACTAGCAGCAGCTGAAGGGTAAAATTGAGAGCAATGGAAGCAGAGACAGCAGCAGAAACAGGGAGAAAGAGGACGAGGACGAGGGAAGCAGAGGACGACCGAGGCACCAGCAGAAGGAAGCGAGACAGAAGACAGAAGGAGACGACCGCTGAAGCAGAAGCAGAAGCAGCAGAAACACCATCATCAGGGCAGCGAATCCGACCTCAGCCAGCCGCCAGAGAGACCTCATAAATCCGGGCGCAGGTGCTGGATGCCGCGGCCGGAGAGGTATCTGGGCGCGGGAGGAGTGTTCCAGGGATGCTCGGAGGCTGCCGGCGGGGGACTTCGGGGTCGCTGCTTCCTGCGCTGGGGTCCCTTTTCCAGAGGGACAGGGACGGGGCTCTGGTGCGCTGCCCTTCGCTCGGGGCGCCTGCGTTCGGCCCTGGGAACTCGTTGCCTTTTCTCTGTCTCTGTCTGTCTGTCTTTCTGATAAACTCTCTCTCCCTCTCCCCCCCCCCTCTCTCTCTCTTTCTCTCTCTCTCTACCTATCTATCTATCTATCTATCTATCTTTCTCTCTTTTTTCTCTCTCTCTTTCTCTCTCTCCCTCCTCACATTCTCTCTCTCTCTCTCTCTGCCTTCTTTATTGCTTTCTTATTCATCTTCCTTTTTGGCAGTCCGCTTGAACCCCTTTCTTCCCTCTTCTATTCTTTGATCTGCGCTTCTCTTTCTTCTCTTTTTTTCTCTCCCTCTTCCCTCCTTTATCCTCGTCTCTTTCTTTTCCTTCAGACACTTACTGCTCTCCAGTTACTTTCCGACCTTCCTCTTATTCTCTCATTTTTCCTCCTCTGTTTCGCTGTTTCGTCCCATGTCTCTCTTCCATTCCTCCCCTCCATTTTCCTCTTTTTTATTTCCTTTTTCTCCTCTTTATCCTCCTCTTCTTCCTTTCTCTTCTTCTTCCTTTTCATTCTGCTCTTAATCCCTCTTCTCTTTTTCATTCTCCTCCCCCTCTTCTTCTTCTTCTTCTTTCTCTTCCTCCTTTTCTTCCTCTTCCTAATCCCTCTCCTCCCTCTTCCTCCTCCTCCTTCTGCATCTTTCACCTCCTTCCTTCTCATAATTTCTCTCTTCCTTCTTCCACTCTCCTTTCTTACTCCTCCTGTTCCTCCTCCCTTCTCCCCTTCTCCCTCCCACCCCTCCTTTTCATCCTTTTTGCTCCTCCTTCCTCCTCCTCCTCCTCCTCTTCCTCCTCCCCATCCATCTTCCTCCTCCTCCTACTTCCCATCCTTCTTCCTCCTCCTCCTCCTCCTCCTCTACCTCCTTCTCCTCCATCTCCTCCTCCCTCCTCCTTACCCCCCTTCCTCCTCCTAATCCCCCCCCCCCGCCCTTTGCTCCAATAAACCATCCCTTCCCTGATAGCTCAAGGATCATCAGTGTTAGCTCCTCCCCTGTCGAGTCTTCGGAAGGGGGGGCGAGGGGAGAGGGAGGGGGGAGAGGGAGAGAGGATAGAGAGGGGAGAAAAGGGAGAGGAGAGAGAGGAGGAAGAGGGAGAGAGGAAAGAGAGTCTAGGAAGAGGGAGAGAGGATAGAGAGGGGAGAAAAGGGAGAGGAGAGAGAGGGAGAGACGAGAGAGGATAGAGAAGGACGAGGGGAGAGGGGGAAAAGGTGCGAAGAGCGAGGAGAGAGAGAGAGGAGAAGGCAAAGAGGAGAGAGAGAGAGAGAGAGAGAGAGAGAGAGAGAGAGAGAGGAGAAGGCAAAGAGGAGAGAGAGAGAGAGAGAGAGAGAGAGAGAGAGGAGAAGGCAAAGAGGAGAGAGAGAGAGAGAGGAGAAGGCAAGGAGGAGAGAAACAAGAGGGGAAAAAAGGGGAAGGCATTAGAACGAAACACGACGAAGGTATGGGGTAGAGGGTAAAGGTGGGGGGTGGGGAGTGTGGGGGGGGAAGGGAGGGTTGTGAGGGAAGGAGGGGAAGGGGATCGACGCCCCTCCTTCCCCACCCCCACCCCCACCCCCTTCCCCCCCTCCCTTTCCCTTCCCCTCGATCTTTATTCAACGGCGTTCCCAGGAGGCCATCGCTCTTTGTTTGCTGCTTAAGGCCATCTCACCGTACCCACGACGACCCCAAGTACGACCTCCGCCACGACCCCAAGAGAAGGACGACCACCGCCACGACCTCAAGAGAAGGACGACCTCCGCTACGACCCCGAGAGAAGGACGACCTCCGCCATGACCTCCGCCACGACCCCAAGAGAAGGACGACCACCGCCACGACCCAAGAGAAGGACGACCACCGCCACGACCTCAAGAGAAGGACGACCTCCGCCACGACCCCGAGAGAAGGACGACCTCCGCC